ATTGTGGCGCCGAAACGCCGCAGAAGTAGCGAAACAAAAGCCATGAGAAGTATCACTCACTCCATCCTCATGATTAGTCGGTTGATCGGTTGATAGCGCAAAATCAGCTAATCGTAATGACGGTTTTGCTGATGCAAACATGTTATTACTTGCTTAAATTTAAGACATTCTAAATTAAGACGACTAAATCATCACAATTATGATTGCGGAACCTGAATGAATTTCTCGTTTCTTTCCGTGTTGTAAAGGTAATGTCACATGGATTGCAATGACAAGACTTCAGTAATTTTCGTAATACCTTCCTGATTGGATCCACAATGGTTCAAACAAACAAGTTTATGCATATCATTATTTCCGTGTCTAAGTTTGGTTAAGGCAAGATTGAGTATCAGTGTAATAATAACTCTGAATGGTGAATAGATTAGTTAAGTTATCGTTTATCGCGTACTGTCTAAGAGTGTGGGTAATGGGGAAAGATTTCTGCTTTAGTACAGTATAATCTGCAATTATTCGTTTGCAAAAGAAAAGTTTTTTTTAACAAACATAATAAGTGAAGCGTGAAGTTAGTCAAACTGAACATTTTAAGCCTCATGATATCGTATATTCAAAACAGCTAAAAATAATTACGCCATAGTTTCTTCGCTATCACGTAGTTTTTCAAATGCCAATGCCCAAAAAATGAATATCTCGTTTTGCGCAAAAAATTCCGTAAAAGAAAATTACGCATATAATCATTTTACATGTGTGTACTGTATTATATACAATAGCATCGTATCGAATACAATCCAGAATCAATTATTTCTGACAACAACGTTAATTATTGGACTGTCGCATGTCTGTTCAAAAAACCCGACTTTTTTGAGATTCTGGCAGTTAATAACTAGTCGAAGCCTGTTTATGGGTCGCACGTTTAGTCAAATGCAAGAAATCAAATGTTACACAATGGAAATATATTCATCCGTCGTTTTGTTCATGTCTTAAGATCGTATGAATTTTGTCAAATAGAAAGGGACTAAAGACGAACCTGCAGGGGTTGCTATATTTAGCGATGCTGAAACGAGGCTTATTACACATCTTGACTTTCTACTCTTAGCCCAGTGCAAGTCACCGTGTCTTCATTCCACAGTTTCTGAGACCGTAAAAGTGATTTATAAGACACTCTTGAAGTATTGTGCTTTAGCAAATTACACATAGGACAAGTGTCTTCTGCAGAAGATGAGAACCCTTTTATGTTACAATGGTCTCATATATATATATGTAAATGAGTCAGATGAAAGGAAAAAAAGTCTACATTAGCACGGCCATAAAACAATGGGTTTGATCGTTATGTGTAGTCATTGACCTTTTCTAGATAATCAGGATTTTGTGAAATGCATTGACTTGCATAATGAATATCGATATGTGATACGCCTAAAATATATGTAAGGTTAGCAAGAGTGGGAACGTGGGAAGGTGAATTTGTTAGGAGCTAACAAATAGGGTTAGATATCGAACCTATAAGAGGTCAACGTGAGAACGGAAATTTCAATTTTACGTAACAAAAAGTGTATGGGCATATGTACATGTGAGAAGCATTCTTTGTCATTGAATAAAAAATACCTATGTTTGTTAACTTAAAAGACTGCAATTTATTTTGAACAGAAAAACTTTAATGACAAGTATAGAGTCTGTTTCTTTTATTGAAAACATTTCTATATTAATATGTGTAAAATGAATGCAAGTTGTAAAAACGGCGAGACAAAGTTGCTTGACATAATAACAACTTATGATGCTGCAAGAAGGTACTCTATATTGACAATTATATAAGCTCATAGAATGCATTGTCTATACACACACACATACAACATTTGTCAGGTAGGATTTGTGTTTTGGATACAATAGTATAAGTAAAGCAATTTGCATAACTTGGCTAAGCAGTCTCCAGTTACGATCAAGCAGGCAGGCTATTCAGCAGAACTATGAGGAGACTTGTGAGTGATAAATGCTATACAATTGGCAATATTCATCCTCTTTCATAGTATCAATATCAAAGCCTATATTTCTTAGTAAAACATTAAAGTTCATTTGCTTGATAGTTGTGACTTTTAATGGATAAAATTGTTATTTTTTTTTAGCAAAATGCCACCGGAAAATCATGCAGTAATATAGAATGAGTCGTCCAATTATAATTATACCAGTGAAAATACACGTTCACCAATTATCACTTGACCATAGTGTAATACATTTGTTGGTCATCTATTGGATGATCAAATACTGCATTGTGCAATAACAATATGTCACAACCTTGTGCATCCTTACCTAGTAAATGTTTTGTATGACAAAAACCAACCAAACCATCTCCCTATCTATCTCCTATCTTTGAATCTTTCCTTACTATTACCAATTTTCCTAAAAACATTCCTCTTATTTTTCCCTCAAAGTCACTCTTTGTGTTAGCACCTAAACAAGTCACTACTGTAGAAGGGTGGAATATGAGCCAGTCATCAGATACACCCTCTCTATCTAGTTTTTTAACTCCACCAGCAGATGGCAGATGTCTTTGTAATTGGTCTAATTGTGCTATGGACTTTATCTCAATAAATGAACTTGATCAACATATACACTCGGAGCATATTGGAATCGATGCAGTAAAGAAGCAATTTATTTGCTTTTGGCTCGGGTGCTATGCGTTTTTCAACAATAAGGAGGAACTTGAGGAGCATATAAACCATATCCATATTGATACAATGTTGAATGAAGAGGAAGAGGTATTAGATGACAGTTTGATGGAAGTAAGTGATCACTCCAAACACAAGTATTATATGTAAAATTTTTTTATTAAACAAATTGTATGGTATATGTTTGCCATATATACCACTCCTATAATACTGATATATGTTTACATATCATTATATAGATAGATACATTAGAGCATGAAAATAAACTTCTTCATAAATTGATAAAAGAACAAACCAAAGAGATAAATAAATTGAAAGAACACTCTAATCTTGACAAAGTGGTAATTAACGATGCAGAGAATGATTTAATAATAAAGAAGGATACAATTGCACTTCTGGAAGAGCAAAAACGATTAACAGAAATAAAACTTGGTCATTTGCATGCACGGCTGTCAACGAGAGCACAAACACGGACAATACAGAAAGAAGAGGCAAGCAAGTATAACCATCATCGAAGAAATGGAGCACATGGAAGTCTAAATTTAATTGGATGTGCTGGCTCGACATCAGTACGATAGCGACCTCCTTCCACAATCTAGTTCTACCTACACAAGGATGTGCTGGTGGCTTCATTTTCATGCCGCCGCAGGCGCTAATAGATATAAGAAGTCAATCGTTCATTTATTTAACATTACTTGCTCAAGTCCTTCGAGATCTGGCAAGACATCTTTTTAGAATCTTAACATATCAACAGTTTTCTTGTAGAGTATTTAGAAGCATTCTGGTTTCCTGGTTGAAATAATCAATAAAGTAAGTCACATTGGCCAGGTTTATATCAAACTAACGTAACAAATCGAGTTAGCCGAAAATAATAATACCGTAATTACAATCTAGAGCATGCTTTGAAAGTTTGGAAGAACTATCAGGCAAGACGGTAATTATAGTGATCGCATCGTCCTGAGGTACCTGCGACTCAAATCAGCCTCTTTATGTCATTGTAATGACAGCAAACTGTCAATAGGAAAAAGAATGATAAGTACAAGGCAAGATTTACTGTTGTATAAAAGCCACAGACATCAATCATCAATATGACGGTTATACCTTCTTCTTAAATATAATACATTTGTTTTAAACCTCATACTAATGCAGGTTCTCCAGTATAGCTTAAGCGTTTTTGTAACATGACGATAAAATATCTGCCCTCGCGTATGAACTTGTTTCGGCTATACAGTATTACTGCCAGTATAAGCAATAACATTAATGTTTTTCTTGTCTCGCTTGTCACCTTGAGTTGCAAATCAACGAGTAAGAAAACAATCCCGGCAGTTTATGGTGATGGTCTTCGTATGCAGTAGTAAAATTGCAGGCCTACCAGAATCAATATACGGTCTTTGTTCTGTCCGAATGTGTTTCAAGGAAGCAGTTTTGCCTAATTGCATGTCTGCCTATCAACATGTAACATATGGTTAAAGTCGTTCCCGATAAGCTGATATAAGTTTATCATTAAGCAAGTTATCTCGGAAGACATGGGACATACTAGTACTGTATAAGCCACCTATTCATACTATTCGTTACACAGATTGGAATTCTGATATCACGTGTGCGAACGGCACGTTATCTGCACATAACATTTTACTTTCGCATTTTACTTCAAAGTTGAATCATGAGTTTGAGATACACCATGTCTTTCTTAGTTATTCTCGCTATTCCTGCGGATCTCATAGTACAGAGAGAGAGAGCAACGACAACTCTAAATCGTGAACGCCCAACACGGAAAGAAGCGGGAATTAACGAACGAGATTATTTAATAACTTAGACTCTTAAAAGGAAATTCTGGAAAACCCAAACAGTAGAACCTCACCATTTACTACAATGAATTTAACGGCTGAGATTCCAGAGCGATATGAGCTACTTTAAAGTAAATAGATCTGATCAAATATCGGATATCCTAGAATTCAAAAATTTCATACCCATCGATGGTTTTTAATATATATTATTGCATACATTCTGCTTTTCTCGAGTTGAAGATGTAATTAATTGAACTTCACTCTTAACATCCTTAAAGCTTTCAATCAAATCTCGGTCCGACCTCAACTGTTTAATATTCATAAGCTGGTTGTCTCTGCTCGTTACGTATTGGTCTTGTCTAATCAACACGGAAATGTTAAAACGAAAATTTTTGTCAATTGACTCTTGTCATTATACGCATACCAAATCATATAACATAGGCTTTATTCTTCAATATACAGTCGTACTCTCTATAGCTCACTATGGACACATAGCAATACATGGTTTTTACGGAACGATCAATTATGCGTATGCTGGAAGAATACTTTCTACACTTTACAATGCATCAGATTCCCGGGAACCGACGGTTTGAGTATCTGTAAAACAGGCTTTTGTGATAACCGATCGAGTCTCATCAACTTCATACTCGCCGGCTGTTCGCCGTATCACGCGGCGTTGCTTATATCTAATTAATTTTTTCTGCTGTCTCGTCATAACGGTATGATGTTCACTATTACAACGGAACAGAAATATTGCAAGTCACCGTGACGCGAACCTCCATGATACATCGTGATATAATTGTCTCGCGCTCTTATCGGACACATTCCAATAATTACTGTAATACGCTGACAGCCTGTCGAACAAGCAATCTTTCGCAATGACACCGAACGACTGTCAGAAAATACACTCACTACCAAAAAGTATTGGCCGAAATTTGTCGATCAATAGTAAAACATATGAAAAATCCAATTTTTCAAAAATCTGTATTGGCGT